TGGACCCCCAGGCCTGGTGCTAGGCAGGGGCTCTACTCCTGAGCAACATGCCCAGTCATGTCTACATTTATGTCCTATAAAGTCCCCATAAACCCTGAATTCTTTTTTTTTTTTTTTCTTCTCGGTGCTGGGGATTGAACTCAGGACCCTGTGCGTGCCAGGCAAGCACTTATTCTACTGAGGTATCTCTCCAGCCAAACCCTGAATTCTTAATCTAGTAGGATTCTATTTCTAGCAGTGGAAACACAAAACTAGGCCCCTCCCTACCTCTGCTCCCCTTTTCAATTTTTACTTTTATTTTTGTACTAGGGATGAGACCAAGGACCTGTACATGCTAGGCAAGTGCTCTGTCAGCGAGGCCCACTTCCAGCCACTCTGGTCATATTTTTGTCACCTGAAATGCCACCGGGGCATGTTTGTGTGCCAACATCCTATAAAGCAAGCCAGTTTCCTTAGCACTGAAACCTGTTCTTCCACGTAACCCTGTTACTAGGCAACGCTCGGCAGGTCCCACTAAGCACTGTTCCAGTCTGCCGACCGGACCCGCAGCACACGTGTGCGTGCGCACCCGCATCTTCTGTCCCTTCCCACCCATGGGCCGCCAGCCTGCGTAGCACCACTTGGAAGGTTTCACAGTTCCCGATTCTGGATGACACAGCTGCTTCTTTCTGGCTCTCAGCCTGACCCTTCATTCTCTTTGTTCCTGCGATTTTGCTTTGCAGCTCGGGGGGCTGAACCCAAAGCCTTCGGACTGAGCTCGCCTCCCAGCCCTTTTGTATTTTTTACAGAATGTTGCTGAAAGGTGAGAATCAAACTTCCAATCCTCCTGCCTCAGCCTTCCAGAGTGCTGGGATTACAGCCACGCCTCAGCAGGCCCAGCTTCCAGTTTTTGTTTGTGTTAAAGCAGCCCTCACCTCACGTGTCCACAGATTTCCCCAGCTCTGCAGTTTCTCCACATACCACAAACACATGGCAGCATTTTCCAGAGCAGCCTCAGGAACAGGCTGATGGCTTCTCTCTTCCTCTTTCTGGGTGAATCCCATGGCTGACTCATAGTGGGGTGAATACTGGAGCCCCTTCCTCCTAAAAGAAAACTTCAAGTCACCCTGAAACCTCAGTAGTGCCCTTTTGGGGGTAGATTTTTGCAGATCTGATCAGCTAAGATGAAGTCTTGCTGGGTTGGGCGGCCCCAAGCCCAGGGGTTAGTGCCCTGATGAGAAGGTGTGGGACATGCAGGCACACAGTAGGACGGTGACCTTGTTTAGACAGGGGATATTGGAGCTGTGCTGTTCTCTTGGTCCCCTTCTCTTTTATAAATGATCTCCCTATTTTCTATCATCTATCTTTTATTTGCTCTTTAATTTATTCATGCTGTGGGTCTCTCATATAAGAAGAAACGCGATATTTAGGCTTATGTGTTTTGATGTATTTCTCTTAACATTATGGTCTCAACATGCATCCATTTTCCAACATCTGACTCAAGTCTATCCTTCTTCATGTCACAGTATTACTCCACCATGTATAAGTACCACATTTGCTTATCCATTCATCTACTGATGGACGTATAGACCATTTCCAAGACTCAGCAATTATGAGTTGTGCTGTTACAAACATGGGTATACGTGAACTTTGCAATATGATGTTTAACTCTTTCAGGAAGGTCCCCAGAAGGAGAATGGTGGTCAAATTGAATTTTTAGTTCAGTTCTTTTGTGGGGTCTCTATACTGATTTTCATAGTGGTGGTACTAGGTTAAGCACCCATCTCAGCCCTTTGGGGAGCCGAGCACATAAATGCCATGCAGTGTGGCCATGACACCACAAGAGGGCACTGTCTTGCAGCGAGTCCAATACCGTATTGCACAGGTGGGCTCTCAACACTTAATAAATAGTATTCAATCATTTGGATAACAGGAACATTATAATCCATCTCTATAAGAAACCATTATTATCTTGCTTGATAATTTCTTGCCTTTACAATAACCTGACCAGGAGCTGTTTTTAAAAACAGGTCCTTGGTATGTGGCCATTTCACACCATGGGAGGGTCTGTGTAGGATAAACTACTCCAACAATTTCCCATCTGGTATGAGATGCCTCTCGCTGTCTCTCTGTCTCACTGTCTCTCTGTCTCTCTGTCTCTCTGTCTCTCTGTCTCTCTGTCTCTCTGTCTCTCTGTCTTTCCGTTTCTCTGAGTCTCTATCTCTCTGTCTCTCTCTTGGACTACTTCTACAGATAGGTCAAGTTGCTCTGCAAGGAGGTAACATGCCGCATTATATAGTATCTAATGGTTTGGTAAGTCTGGTGCTTCAGCTTTGGTGTAGCCTTTCAAGCCCCAGGAAGTCATAGCCAGTATCTCAAGGCTCGATCCCAGCTAGCACTGCGGAGCATTAGCTCTACCGTCCTCTCTTGACCCAGCTCACATTAAAGAGCAGCAGGTATAGGTTACCAGGGAAACACCCACGCCACCTTCAAAGACTATCACCAGCACCTCAGCTAGACCAATACACATTGCTTAAGGCCAAGTGAAGGATAAACAGAAGCCCTAGCCAGCTCTGTACAGAACAATACAAGGAAATAGGGTCAGGCTCAGTCAAAATGGAGACAGTCCCTCTTCTTTCAAGGAGAGCTGCTCAGTTGGTCCTCCACAGTTCCAGGGGACCCCAGACATGGTCACCACAAGGATTTCTCCTGCCTGCTCAAGCCCCACCCAGGTGTAGCACTCAGGACAGAACATGCACGGGAAGAAGGTATGGCTGCCACTCACTGAGGTGATGCCACCAGGACCTGCTCCTCCCTGTCACCCCTGCGTGGCCCTAACACTTTCTGGCTGTCATGGCTTCTGTCTGGAGGCCCTCCCCGTGCTTCATGTGCTCATAGGCTCAGCTTTCAGGGGTGACTGGACCATGGGGGGCTACAGCTAAATGTGCCATTGGCAGCAGGGTCCTGCTCAGAGGAGGGGGCCACTGGGCTGTGACCCAGAAGGACACGTCTCCCTCCCTCCCCTCGTCCTAAACCTTCTGCTTCTGAGTCACTGTGATGAAAGCCACTCCTCTGCACCAGACCCCTCTGCCACATTGTATCTTCTTAGGATTCAGCCAGGTACTGAAACATGGGCCAAAATAAATCTCTCCTCCTTTAAGGCGTGGGTGTCTAGGATTGTGCTCCAGCCACAAGCAAAGTGACTAAGACTTGGCAAGGGTGACAGTGAAGGGCAGGGCTGGGGAGAAGTTGGGGAGTTACCAACTCACCAACTCACCTCCTCTAATGATGGCGACCTGACCTTCACCTTGCTTCCAGGGAGAGAGTGGGCCCTGTCCCTGCCTCCAGCCTGGGCTGGGCATTCTGACAGCAGTGTGGTCAGCTGAGCTTCCTCTTACCAGGGAGGACATCAACAAAGGCCTGGAGACAAGGCCCCTGCAGTCTGGGGTATGCGCCTGATTTCCTCTGTAGCAGAGCACAGTGACCTCATGTGGTATAAATTGTGCCATCTTGGCACAATGCTGCTCGATGCACCTCTCTAATATGAGCTCATGCAATCCTTGCAGCAATCCTAAGAGCTCACACTCTATTCCCATTTTACAAATGAGCAAACTGAGGCACCGAGAAGTTAGGGGCTTGTCCAAGATCACACAGGTAGTGCGCATCGGGGCAAGGAGCCATCTCCCCAAAGGTTGCTTCACCCCTGAGGGCACCTGGTACTTAACAGGTTCCTAACAGTCACTGGATGGATGCAGATGTTGGAACAGATGTGGACAACAAGAGGAACCCCACCTAGGAGGCTGAGCAGGAAGATCACTGTGAGTTCAAAACCAACCTGGGCTACAAAGTGGCTCAAGGCCAGCCTGAACTGCATAGTGAGATGATCTCAAAAAGACAAAGAAAAAAAAGATGAACCCCAAAGACACCATGTTGCCCAGAAAGCCTTCTGTTCTTTCCCTAATGGTTTAGGAAATACAAGGGGATAACCGCTTCACTAAATGAGAGCAAAGCCAGCGCAAGAAGGAACATAAACAGCATGGTGGGTTGGAACAAAAGTCAATATAATCAGGACAAATTAATGGAGAAAAGCATCAGGAAACTAAAAGCTAGTTCCTTGAGGAAGAAAAAAAGTTCTATCTTTAGCCAGAAAGAACAGAGAAAAGATATTTTTAAAAAATAAAGCAAACAAGAAAAGAAAAACTGAACACAGAGGCATGTCCATATTTCCAGCTACACTGGAGGCTGAGGCAGGAGGATCACTTGAGCCCCAGAGTTTGAAGCCAGCCCGAGCAGCATAGTGATAGCCTATCTCAAAAAAAGGAAAACAAAAACAAAAAATTTTAAAAATACCTTTCTGTCCATAAAATCAAACTCGTTCCAGAGAAATTCCGAGCCCAAGTCATCTCACATCTTTAAGAAATGAGGAAGGAAGGGCTGGTGCCCGCTTTCCTATTCTCTGGGACTGACGGATAGAGAAGATGCGGTAAGGCAGCAGAGGCTCAGGCAGTTTGGCAACTCCGAAAAAAATGAGTCACTATGAAATCACGGTTGTCTCGAAACCTCAAAGTCACTGACCAAACTCACCTGGATCCGAACTGCTTGGCTTCCAGGGAAGGTGGGCGGGATCTAGCTGCAGGCCACGCCCACAACCCAGGCATCCAGTGGGCTGGGCGCCCAGATCGCTCCTCAACAGGTGCCTTGACCTCCTGGCTCCATCCATGTAGATGCATCCTTGGACACCACTCAAGGCGGAGCCTTTACACTCACAGAAAGAACTTTAGGGGACACCACTCAAGGCGGAGCCTTTACACTCACAGAAAGAACTTTAGGATTAATAAACTCATGTCCTTAAGTAGTTTGGAGCGGTAGCAGCTACTTCCCCTTGGGGGTGCACAAGGAACTCGCAGGGTGCCTCCCGGCCTGAACTTTAGAGTGTCCTGGGGCCGCCTTTCCGCTATAGTTTCTCTCACCCTCTCAATGCGTAGCAGAAGGACCGCGCAGCAGAAGAGGCGACCGCACCGTACCGCAGATCAAGGCGTGCGCTTGCATCTTGCAGCTGATGGTGCGCTCGCGCTCCTGAAAATTGCTAGCGCTAGTTGCTCACGCCTTGGGGATCTCCCCAGAACTTTGCTTCCGCGGGGCTGCCGGGGATCCCGGCCTCTGCTGACTGTCTCCGCCCACTGCGCTCAGCCCTGAGCGCTAGGCTGACCCTGGCCAAGCGGAGGCGGATCCAGAATGAGTCCGGGCGTCGCATATTCTCGGGAACACAGAGCCCCACCCGGGGGCGGGACCGCTCGGTCTCGTTCCCTAGGAGTCGGAGCCCTGGATCCCACAGCTCTTTCTTCACAGCCACCTTCACTCTGATTAAGTCCACTGCCCGGGCACCCAGCCATGTCGTCCTGCACCCGCGTGGCGCTGGTGACCGGGGCAAACAAGGGCATCGGCTTTGCCGTCACACGGGAACTCTGTAGGCGGTTCCCGGGGGACGTGGTGCTCACCGCGCGGGACGAGGTGCGGGGCCGGACGGCGGTGCAGCAGCTGCAAGCCGAGGGGCTGAGCCCGCGCTTCCACCAACTAGACATCGACGACCTGCAGAGCATCCGCGCCCTGCGCGACTTCCTGCGCAGGGAGTACGGGGGCCTCAACGTGCTGGTCAACAACGCGGGCATCGCCTTCAAGAGTAAGTGCAGGCCTGAGCTGGGGTGCGGGTGTCCCTGGGGCGCTCTGAGGGCGCAGAAGTGTGAACCGCAGGCACCACAGGAATGGCGGTGCGGGCGATCAGCCCCCGGGAGGCGCCCAGCGCCAGCCCGCCTGGGCGGGTTTCTCTCCCCAAGGCCTGTGCCGGCCTGTGTGGTGCCCGGGCCCTCCCAGACTTTCAGCTGGGTCTGTTTGTGAAAACCCTGGCCTCCTGGGAGCGGACCACGCCTTGCTAAGTCATCAGACTTATGTTTCATCCAATAACCATTTTCCCCCGCAAAGGGTCTCCAAGATTATGGGCTTTCTCTTTTCGGGGGTGAATCAAGGACACATTCAGCGATGCCTGGAGCACTCTGCTCTGGACAGGAAACGTGTAGCTGAGACTCGCTAGCTAACTCACATTCGTACCCGAGTGCATTTTATACTTAGTTGCTTGGAGGGCTTGGACAGGCGCTGGGGGGGGGGGGGAAGGAAGTTGAGCCACTCCTGACTCCAGGAGGCTGATGTGTGTTGACAAACACCAGCGTGGTTTTAAGAAGCAACTCCCTTAGGAAAGAAAAATGAAGGCAATTTCTCATTCTAACAACTGTTCCATTAAGAAAGTTATTACACTCCAATGTGCTGGGACTGGAAAGAAATAAACAAGCCAGCTTCCTTACAAGACAGTGGGGGAGACAAGCCTAGGACAAGAACATATAGGAAGCCCTTTCAGCACAGAGCTCCTGCCCTTGCAGGGATCATGGTGGCCCAGGCTTCCTCCCTCTGCACCTCTAGCTCGGCCTGTGAGCTTTGGGAAGCTGAAGTGACAACCCTGGGGTGGCCTTGAGCCCTGAACAACAGGTGGAGGTGCCTATGTGCTCCGGGAGCCTTGCCCCTCAAAGTGGGGACCCCAACCCGCATCCTGGGCACTCCTTGTGCAGGCTTCATTCTGCCACCTGCACGTTCCTGGCTGAGACGCGCTGGCCTTACCAGGTTGCTGCAGGCTCACCCATAAGAAGCTAGGGTCCAGCCCGAAAGCTATGTGTCCACAGGCCGTGCAGAGAATCTGATGGGCGCTGAAGGCAGGGAACACTGCCTAGTGGTCTGTACTGTTTTAAAGTTCATTTGCTTTCTAGGCATGCTGGCTCCCACTTGTAATCCCAGGATCTGGGAGGCTGAGGCAGAGAAAAGGATGCAAGTTTGAGGCCACCTAGGGCTATACTGTGAGTTTGAGGCCAGCCTGAATATATAGACAGACCCTGTCTCAAAAAAATTAAGCTAGCTTGTTTTGTTAATTTGTTATCCATTGAAAGTAATGCATGAATTTTAGGGAGAAATGCATGATTCTTTTTGTCTCCTCTTTTTGAAAGTGGATGACCCAACGCCCTTCGACATTCAAGCTGAGCTGACACTGAAGACAAACTTCTTCGCCACTAGAAATGTCTGCACTGAATTACTGCCCATCATGAAGCCGCACGGTGAATCCAGGGGTGACATCACGCTGTGTGGTTTGGGAAGGAGAACAGGGCTGTGCCCGGATCCCCCAGTGCTGCCATTTCTCTGTGAAGGGGAAAATAGAAGATGGCTTTGTTTTCTCCTCGTGTCTGGCTGCTCATGTGAATCCTGGGGTTCATGTCTGGACCTCAGTCCCCAAGGACAAGATATGCAAGTCTAGGGAGGCCTTTGGCTCCCATTGACCTCAGGGAGGCCTTCTCTAGCCCTCCAGGGATGAAACCACCTGGCTCCTCCAGGAACCTGGGATGGCCTCTGTGCTAGGGTGAAACTCTGCCTACATTCTTCTCTTTGGAAAATCTGAAAGAGGTTCCCTTTCTTTTCTTTTTTCCTTTTTAGACAGGTGTCTCACTATGTAGCTCAGGCTGGCCTTAAACTCACTATGTAGCACAGACTGGCTTCCAGCTCAGTGATCTTCCTGCTTTAGCCTCCTTAGTGCTGAGATTACAGGTATGTGCTGCCACGCCTGCCTGCATCTTTGTTTAGTACTGGGGATTGAACTCAGGGTCTTTGCACTGAGCTACACCCAGCCCTTTTTTATTTTTGAGACAGGGTCTTGCCAAGTTGCCCAGCCTTGACCTTTGATCCTTCTGCCTCAGCCTCTCAGAGTGCTGAGATTACAGTGTGCATCTCAAGAAATGTGATATTCTCAGTGTAACGTTCTGAATATTAATACCTTCGCATGTAAAAATTTTTAAGTCTAAAAAGGCGCATGGTGGGAGCTGCCCTTGGCCTCCTGCCTGCTCGTCCACCCACTGCCAGCCTCCACAGCCCTCTTGGTCAGCTCTCAGCATGACGAGGTCAAAGCGGGTCGAGTCATGGGTGACTGGGCAGAGGAGGCCTTGGCCTGGGCTCGCAGCTCAGGACCCCCAGGGCCAAGGGGATAGAGTTTATAAATGGAACTCAGCAAATAGACTGGCACATTTGCAGACTCCTTTCTTTACATAGAAGGTGAGATTTAGAGCAATGTTTGCCACCTTGCTTTTTATTTGTTTGGATTATTTGTTTTGAAATGAGATCTTGCTGTGTTTCCCAGGCTGACTTCAAACTCCTGGGCTCAAGCAATCCTTCAGGCTCCAGACTAGCTGAGATGAGTGACAGGTGTGTCACGCCTGGTGCCACTTTGCTGGGTTTTTTTTTTTTTCCTCTCTCTCTCTCTTCCTTCCCAGATGGGCCTCTAAGTTAGGACAGAAACTTTTCCTGTTCTCTTTATGATGGTTATATAGTACTCCAATGTAAAGACACCTTTACCAAGTTATAGGAGCTCCTCTCCCTGACAGGTTTCATAATCATAGACTCGGAGAGCCAGCTTTTGTGGTGGCACAAACCTGCAACCCCAGCACTCTTTAGGGGCGGAGGCAGGAGCATCAAAAGTTGGAGCTCAGCCTGTGTAACTTAGCGACTTAGGGAAACCCTGTCTCAAAGAGAAAGGGAGAGATACGGCTCTGTGTAGGGGCTCTTGGATCAAACCCCAGCATACACACATCCAAATTTCTTGACAGCTGCACAATATTGTGAAAACTTCATGTTGTCCCAGCTCCACATTACAGAGAGGGCAGTGGAGGCCCCAAGAACTAAGCACAGCCAGGGTAGCAGAGTGGGAAGCTCTCCTGGTTTCTTTACTTGCCACTCAACCAAATGCAAATATGTAGAGAAGCAAGGATGAGGATGTAGGTCATGGTGAAAGACCTGGGTTCAATCTCTCCAGTACAGAAGAAGAAGAGGAAGAAGAAGAACAGCTGTAGAGGGGAACGCATGGAAGGTTTATGGGAAGGTGGGCTTGGGGGACTGCATCACTGTCCTTTATCAGTACTGTGACCTGACTCCTCAATGGGAATCTCCAATTTAGCCCTC